AATGTTTCAAGATCTATCCTGAAGTACAATGCTGTCAGTGATACGATAATGTCCATACACCTGTAAGGAAGACCAGTTAATACTACTATTATTCAGATTTACACAACCACCACCAAAGCCGAAGCCAAGGAAATTGAAGATTTTTACCAACTTCTGTAGTCTGATTTGACCAAACACAATCCGGATATGTTGATTTTTACTGATGATTGGAATGCAAAAGGTGGAAACAAAGAAGAATCACCGGTAGTTGGAAAATACGACCTTGGTGATAGAAATGATGGTGGAGACCACATGATAGAATTTTGTAAGACCAACAACTTATTCATTGCAAACACCTTTTTTCAACAACATAAATGGCAGCTGTCCACTTGGACTTCACCAGATAGAATATACAAGAAGCGCATCGACTATATCTGTGCAAAGAGGAGATGGAGAAGCTCAATATCTATCTATTGCCAAAACAAGGCCAAGAGCTGACTGTGGAACAGACCATCAACTGCTCATATACAAGTTCAAGTTGAAGCTGAAGATAATTAAAACAAGTCCATGAGGACCAAAATATGACATTTATTATATCCCACTGGATTTTAGAGACCATCTAAAGAATAGATTTGCCAGTGTAATTATAGTAATACTCAATTTTCATTGGTTGAAAGAGTCAATACTATGAAAATGTCACTTTTCTCCAAAGTAATGTTGAAAATCAGCATAATTTAATTAAAACCTCATCAAGTGTTCTCATAGAACTTGGCAAGTAGAGACAGTCCCCAGGTTACTAACGCTGATTTACATACAGCCCGTAGTTATGAACCAACCCCGACACATGACTTTCCTTGATGCAAACCCAGAGATTGTGCACAGAAAAGGGCTGAGTGGTGTCCTGCCTCCCCCCAACTCATACCACAGCAGCTGGCAGCTCTCCTCACGCTCACTTGGCTCCAGATGCTGCAGCCCCCGCCTCACACCAACTTGGGATGTGATGGTGTTGCACAGGGTTGGCAGCAGTGCAGTGTGTCCACCATGGCTCTGGAACAAGCACAGGCTCCATATGGGACTGGCAGGGCCCTGGGCTAGGCAGGAGGTTGTAAGCACAGATCCAGCTTCAGTGTGTACCATCCAGCCAGGTGCCACTTCAGTGTAATCCTCATCTGGACACAGTGCAATGATCCTGGGCCCTGACATGGACCTCAGCTGTCATGACTCCAGCCCAGCTACACCTTAGCTGTGTCCCTGTCCCTTTACTGTGCAGCCCGAGCAGGCCCTAGGACAGTAAGGAAGGAGAGTTTGGACCTAACAGATCTCAGCCTCTGTGTGCTGCCACTAGAGGAGGATCTGAGGGTGAATTCAGGCCTGCCAACAGTTGCCAGGGACTGCACGGTCCTCACCATATAACCACTGACAACATATAATGATTTGTAATAACAAATGGGTGCTACTTTGCAACATATATTGAAACATTATCATTATTATTATCATTACTATATGATTATATTAAAGACAGTTTAGTGTGTCTGAAAGTGTTCCTTTACTATATTTTATGCATCAAGTGACCATTTATATATACTTACACACACACACACACAAATATATATGACTATTATATACACACTAAGATAGACATTTGACTAACAGATGTTAGAAAAGAACCATACCTAACTGTTCTGACTTACATACAAATTCAACTTAAAGGCAGATTTAAGAATGGAGCTCATTTGTAATCCAGGGATTGATTGCCTGTAAACCCAGAACTCATGAGAAAGAGCAAAGGACCAATTGTAGCTCGGGAAAAATAAAAATGAAGATAATAAACCAGATGAGAAGAATGCTCTATGAAATGTCAGAGTTAACTATGAAGGTATATTAGCTAAGACAATATAGTCTGGATGTGAAATCAAACCAAATAAAACCCACTGCCATTGAGTCGATACCAACTCATAGATACCCTATAGGACAGAGTAGAACTTCCCAAAGGAGTTTCCAAGGCTGTAAATTTTTATAGTAGCAGAGTGTTTCATCTTTCTCCTGTGGAGTGGCTGTTAGGTTCAAACTGCTGATCTTTTGGTTAGTAGCCCAATGCCATAGTGCCATCAAAGCTGCTTAGTACTGATACAGTAATAGATAATTAGGCACAACCTAATTGAGAACCCAGAAATATATTGATGCGCATTTGAAAACTTTATAAAGATCGAACTACTAATCAGTGGAGAAAAGATTGATTCTTTGTTACATGTTGCTGTGGTAGTTGTTTTCACATTTGGAAAAAATAAAATTAGATTGCTAATGCATTACTTTTATTAAGATTGATGACTATCTAAATGAAGAAGATTGAAAATCTGAGAAGCTTTAGAAGAAAGTATAGAATGTATTGCATCTTGATGTAGATAAGGATTACTTTAACAAAATGCAAAAACAAAAAAAAAATAATAAAGAGGTAAAATGACAAATGTGATTATATTTTTTTAAAAAAAGTTTTCCTCAAAACCAGCATTTTCAAAAGGAATATAAAAAGACATGCTACAGATTGGGTGAAGATATTTGTGTCATATTTAATTGAAAATGTATTGGTATATAGGCTATATAAAGACTCCCTACATATAAATAAGAAAAAGACACTCAGCCCAAAACAAAACAATTAAAAAAAAAATAGGTAAAAGTAACGATCTGGAAGTTTATGGAAGTAAATAAATGACTATATACATATGAAAAAATGTTCAACCTCAATAGTAACTGGAAATGTGATTAAAATGACAGTGTGACATTTTTTTATACCTCTTATAAGAAATATATAAATGTATATTTTTGAGGGTCTGGAGAGTCGGAATCATTCATACAGTGCTGTTGAGAATATACATCATTATAACCATTTTGGACTGAAATTTATCTCTGCTGTTTGACCCAGGAATTCTATTTCTAGATATATATCCTGGAGAGACTCATATGTGCAGAAGGAGGCATGTATGCAATTGGTTATTGCCACAGTTATTAATAATAGCTGAAATTGAAAATCACACAATTGTCTATCTGTAAAATAATGAATGAATGTACTTTGTTTAATTTGTAAAAGATATTGCTGCACATTTGTTAAAAAAAAATTAGCTGGAATTGCATTTATGACCATGAATAAATCACAAATTTAATGGGAATAAAGCACCTTAAATTGCCAAAAGAAAAGTATCCTACATTATTTTGAAAACATGGCAAATGTATAGATATTATACCTATGCATATATGAATGTTATTTCTATTTCAAAAAATCAATAGAAACCCTAAACATGGAAATTAATATAATAATTCCGTTTGGGGTATAAGATTAGAAACAAATAATAAAGGACCTTCAGCTTTTCTATAATGTATTTCTTTAGAAAAAAATGTGAGTAAAATGTTGCACAGTGTTAAAATTTTATGAAGTTGGATGTTGGGCACATGGTTACTTATTGTATTAAAAATATTTCTTCTATGTTTCTCTATTTTTAAAATATTTCATGATTAAGAATAAAAATGACATTTTTTAAAAAGTGTATGTGAATTCAAAAGTAGTATGCACTAAACCACGGTAATACTATATATTGCTCTTCAGTGAACACACCCGAACCCCTACATGTTTGTATGTGTATATATGTCTACATATGCAGTCATGCATTATTTGACATGTCTGTGAAATAAGACATTATGTGATTTGGATGTTGTATGAACACCATATTATCTACAGGCAGTCCTCAGATTGCAAACAAGTTCTGTTCCTAAGTCTATCTTCAAGTTGAATTTGTATATAAATCGGAACATTTAGCTGTTGTTGGTATCTAGTATCAGTCAAATGTTTGTCTTAGTATATAGTTTACCTTTCAATGCATAAAAAGTATTAATGAAACACTTTCAGGTACACTAAAACATCTTTAACATCATATGTTGTTGTTGTGTTGGTATGTGCCGTCGAGTCGGACCCGACTCATATCGACCCCTCCTTGGGTTTTCGAAGCAGTATCACTACGGAAGTAGATTGCCTCATCTTCCTTCCGAGGAGTGGCTGGTGGGTTTGAACCGCCAGCCTTCTGGTTAGCAGTCAAGTGCCTTAGGCACTACACTACATTAATAACAATGTTGTGATGAGTGTGGCAAAGTAGCACCCATTTGTGACTAAACCATTGTACCTACCTCAAATTTTTAATATACTAGGCTTTATAAGGGTTGGGACCACAGACATACAGTCAGACGTTACCTGAATGGACGTTATATATCATATGTCTGTATATGTGTGTGTGTGTGTGTGTGTATGCATATATGTGAGCGCCGGTGGTGTAGTGCCTAAGGTATTTGACTGCTAACCAGAAGGCTGGTGGTTCAATCCCACCAGCCACTCTTCAGAAGGAAGACTGTGCAATCTACTTTCATAGTGATACTGCCTTGGAAACCCAACAAGGGGTTGCTGTAAGTCGGATCTGACTCGATGGCAGTGAGTTTGATTTGGTTTTATATGTATATATATATGTATGCATATTTATGTGTGTGTGCGTGTGTGTGTATGTGTATGTATTCATCTGTGTCTGTATATTACAGACATTAAATATATAAAGTACACAACTTGAATAGGAAGGATTAATTTCAAGGAGTTCCTGGTGATAGTATTCTGTAGAAAAAAGTGGTGTGAGAATGTGGGAATTAAGGCCAGCAGGTAGCTCAACTGATCTGTATATTTTATTTAATGTATTAAGGAGAAAATACAATGTAAATATGTCATAAATGAGCAGCTGTCAATTTTTTGTGAGAAAGATATTGATATTTGATAAATTGAATGTATTTACTTCTGGTCTTCAATATCTTTTTTCAAAAACATTAATAAGCTTATGAGTAAGATCTGGCTCTTATATAATAAAGATAGATTTTGGATAAATAAGAGTATATTAAAATTCAAACATTTTGTGAATATGTTCATTGAGAATGATATAGTATTATCAGAAAAATTAACAGTGTGTAATTTTACTTTATTGTTTTTACTTCCAAAGAATACAGGTCAATGACCAGATTGTAGAAGTGGACGGAATCAGCTTGGTGGGTGTCACCCAGAATTTTGCTGCTACTGTTCTCAGAAACACCAAGGGTAATGTCAGGTAAATAAGAGACTTCACATGTGAACAATTTGGTTTTTATTTTTGTTGAATTTTAGTTTTGTTATGATTATACCTATAAATCTTGGGAATTATAAGAATTTTGTCTAAGTACTAAAAATTTGATGTTAGGTTTTTTGGTTTTTTTTTTCATTGTGATAAAATATAAGCAACATAAAACTGGCCATTTTAACATATACACATATTTTGTTTATCCATATAGCTGTAGATTACACTTGGGTTGTTTCTGGCTTTTGACTGTTATGAACAGTACTGTAATGAATATTGGTGTCTGAATATCTATTTGTGTCCCTGCTGTTAGTTGTTTGTGGTATATAGAAGTTGTTTATTCATATGGTAATTCTATGTTTAAGTTTTAGAGGGAACACAAAAATGTTTTCCACAGCACCTGCACCATTTTACATTCCTATCAGCAGTGCATGAGGGTTCCAATTTCTCCGCATCCTCACCAACATTTAATTATTTTCATGTTTGGATAATAGTTATTCAAGTGGGTATAAAGTTGTATCTTTTTGTGGTTTTGATTTGCATTTCCCTAATGACTAATGGCTTTGAGCATTTTTTCGTGGTTTTATTGGTCATTTATATGGGGTTCTAAAAATTATAGGTTGGAAAAAGAATAGAAAGCAGTCCTGAGCCAACTAAAGTCAAGGTTTAAAATCAGTTTTCATTTGGTCACAGGTTGCTGTTTCTTCTTTGGAAAACTATCTATTCAAGTCCTTTGGCTGTATTTTGATTGGGGTATTTATCTCTTTTGTGTTGCCTTTGGTTTCAGTGTTAATTTTTCTTTATCAAAATCAATTCGTATAAGTGGAATTTAAAATTAAAAATCATAATATTCAAGAAAGATATGAAAGCAAATGAATGTACAAGATGAATCCAGTGTAGTTAATTACTGAGCTATGTTAATGTGCCTTATTGCTTATAGAGTAAGAATTATTAGGAAGTTAGAATTTCTAGTTAAATTCTCAGTGAGAATTTAGGCTGAAATTCTTTAACCAAATTAGTTATATAGTAAAGGTGCAGTAAATTACAGTGTGGCTTTTCTAGCCATAAGTCTTTGTGAACTCTGTGGTGGAATTTGCCTTGAGCAAGTGAGTAGCTTCTGATTGTTAAAATTATCCACCTGGAGTATTTCTGTTGGGAGCAGCACAGAGTAATGTTCTGGGAAGTTCGCTCTCTCTCAGGTATGTAGAACTCTGATGTTTGCATTGGATGGTTTAGCCACTCTGCCAGGCTCAAAAGGAGCCCTCCTAGAGGCAGAAGGAGTCTCTCTGACTGCCGGCTAAGACATGTGAGAGACACACACACAGCTGAGAGAAAGATGCAAGAGACATGTGCTACTGAGACAGGCACTGAGAGATACACACTGCTGGAAGAGAGACACCGAGAGACATGTACTGCTGAGAGAGACCGTTGGCTGAGAGACAGTTGGGTAAGGCAGACAGCGTGTTCCTGAACTTGAATTGTAGCCTGTTGCTTCCCTAATAAACCCCACAATCTGTGAGTTCTGTGTGGCCACTGCAGCAAGTTATTGAACCCAGTAGAGAGATGGTGGGTACTACTGGAGGAACGAATGGTTGGCAACAGGATTGGTGAAAGGGCTAGAGGGAAGTGGCATATCTGGTCTCGCAGGGATAGGCCTTGGGCTACTGATGGTGAGTCTGTCTTCCTCTTGTAGGGTTAGAGGAGGTCAGAAGATGCAGCCTCCCTGCCCCTTTGGCAATAGTGAATTGAAATTGAATTACTATATACATATACAATAGTATGTGCCATTTAGATAAATAAGCTGAATAATTTTTGGCCAAAAATATATTTGAAAAATCTCTATAGTTTTTAAGAATCAGTCAGAATCACTGTTTGGTGAACTATAATTTTTCCAGCTTACTGAGACAAAGGGTATGTTTCTTGAACATTGAAATTTGTATCCAGTCCTGGTGTTCTGAAAATTATAGGTTGGAAAAACAACAGAAAGCAGTCCTAAGCCAACTAAAGTCAAGGTTTGAAATCAGTTTTCATTTGGTCACAGGTTACTGTTTCTTTTTTATAAATATATCATTGCTTTTGTTTTATACTTTTCCATAAATCCTATGAAGAAACAGATAAGGAGACCTTATTAATCAGTATAATTACACATGTATTTTCTTGCTCTCATCAGAACGAACCTCCTAGAATATTCTGAGAATATTCATGAGTTAACATTTTTATAAGGAGTATAACATTAGGATTTTGTTGTGGTGTGCTTAATGTTGTACAATCATGAATTTAAGTATTAGACTTTGAGACTTTCTTCCTTTTTCAGTTGGAAAGCACTCTTTGATGATGAAGGTGTAAAGAATACAACTAAAAAGACTTTATGGTGCAGGTTGAAGCTTTCAGAATACTCACAATCCTGAGAAAAGAATGTGATGTAAATGAAAAAAGGGCAGTTGAGACTGTCTGATCTGCTCTCCCAGAGCTTTGTGGGTCACCCCTCAGTGGATGTGATTGTCTTTCTGCAGATTGCTCTCTGTTCTTCAGGCAACATTTTCCAGTGACAGTATAAACTCAATTTTGATTTCTATGTTAGATAAGGAATAATTGTGGTTTAAACATGAAATTTATTTGTTACATTATTCACATTGGGTTATGTCTATTCTTCTTGGCCAAAAAAGTAAAAAACTGCATATAAATAAAATTTCAAGTTTCAGGACCATAGACATATATTCAAATGAGGAAATGAGTGAAAACATACTTTATAAACAGAGATATGACAAATACATGTAACTTCTGATTAGAACTAGAAAGAAACTCAAAAATACTGTCCAATCTTCTATTTCACATACGATGAAACTGGAAGCCAAAAAGACAAAACAAAACAAAACAATTATCTATTGAAGGTTATTGTTGTTAGGCACTGTTGAGTTGACTCCAACTCATGGTGACCCTATGTATAACAGAACGAAAAACTGCCCAGTCCTGCGCCATCCTCACAGTCCTTTCTGTACTTGACCCCATTGTAACCACTATATCAATCCATCTCACTGGAAGTCTTTAATTTTTTTTTTTTTTGCTGGGCCTCTATTTTACCAAGCATGATATCCTTCTCCAGGGAATGTTCCCTTCTGACAACATGACCAAAGTAGGTGAGACAAAGTTTTGTCATTCATGCTTCCCAAGAGCATTGTGGCTGCACTTCCTCCAGGACAGGTTTATTCATTCTTCTGGCAGTCTATGGCATTTTCAGTATTCTTCACCAACACCGTAATTCAAAGGCATCAGCTCTTCTTTGGTCTTCCTTATTCATTGTCCAGCTTTCACATGCCTATAATGTGATTCAAAATACCATGGCTTGAGTTAGGCATGCCTTAAATCTTCAAAGTGACATCTTTCCTTCTCAACACTTTAGAAGTCTTTTGTAGCAGATTTTCCCATTGCAATACAATGTCTGATTTCTTGACTACTGCTTCCATGGGTATTGATTGTGGATCCAAATAAAATCCCAGACAACTTCAATCTTTTCCCCATTTACCATGACTGGTTATTGCTCCAGTTGTGAGGATTTTTATTTTCTTTATGTTGAGGTGTAATCCATACTGAAGACTATATTCTTTGATCTTATCAGTAAGTGCTTCAAGTCATCTTCACCTTCAGCAAGCACGGTTGTATCATTTTCATATCACAGGTTGTTAATGGTTCTTCCTCCAATCCTGATGTCATGTTCTTCTTCACATAATCCACCTTCTTGGATTATTTGCTCAGTGTACAGACTCAATAAGTATGGTGAAAGAATACAACCCTGAAGCACACTCTTCCTGAATTTAAACTATGCAGTATCCCCTTGTCCTGTTCAAATGATAGCCTCTTGGTCTGTGTACAGGTTCCTCATGAGATCAATGAAATGCTCTGGAATTACCATTCTTCTCAATGTTATCCATAATTTGTCATGATCCACACAGTCAAATGCCTTTGTATCATCGGTAAAACAGAGGTAAACACCTTTCTGGTATCATTTGCTTTCAGCCAAGATCCATCTGACATCAGCAGTGATATCCCTTTTTCCATATTTCTTCTGAATCCTGCTTGAATTTTTGAAAGTCCCCTGTCAACATACTGCTGCAACCATCTTTGAATTATTTGCAGCAAAATTTTACTTACATGTGATGTTAATGATACTGTTCAGTAATTTCCACATTCTGTTGGATCACATTTCTTAGGATTGGGCACAAATATGGATCTCTTGCAATCAGTTGGGTAGGTTACAGTCTTCCATATTTCTTGGCATGGATGAGTAAGTGCCTCCAGCACTGTATCCATTTGTTGAAACATCTCAGTAGGTATTCTGTGAATTCTTGGAAGCTTATTTTTTGCCAGTTCCTTCAGTGCAGCTTGGGCAACTTCTTTTAAAACCGTTGGTTCTTGATCATATGGTACTTCCTGAAATGGTTGAACGTGGACCAATTATTTTTGATACAGTGACTTTGTGTATTCCTTCCATCTTCTTTAGATGGCTCCTGCATCGTTCAATATTTGCCCATAGAATCCTTCAGTATTGCAACTCGAGGCTTGAACTTTTTCTTCAGTTCTTTCTGCTTAAGAAATGCTGAGTGTGTTCTTCTCTTTTGGTTTTCTAATTCCAGGTCTTTGCACATTTCATGGTAATACCTTACTTTGTCTTCTTGAGCTGCCCTTTGAAATCTTTGGTTTAGCTTTTTATCTCATCAATTCTTCTATTTGATTTAGCTACTTTCCATTCAGTAGCAAGTTTCAAAGTCTTCTGACATCTATTTTGGTCTTTTCTGTCTTTCCAGTCTTTTTAATGATCTTTTGTTTTCTTCATGTATAATGTTCTTGATGTTATCATGTGGATTTTGGTCATTGGTGTTCAGTGCTTCAAATGTATTCTTTAGATGATCTCTAAATTCAGGTGGAATATAATCAAAGTCATATTTTGGCTCTTATGAACTTGACTTAATTGTTGTCAGCTTCAACTTGAACTTGCA